AGTACTGGAAGATCGTAATGAGATCACTTCAAAATATATTTTCTGTTATGATTAATAACTCATGCAACAGCTGCAATCACACAGCTGGTACAATGTTATTCATATACTTACACAATGACAAGGCAATCTGGTTACAAACAACTGAAACAAAGTGATTCTGATTATATACTTTTCCACTCATCACATGAATCATGATAAGACTGATATGAGACCAAATTACAGAACAATCACCCACATGATCGGTGAGATAACAAAATCCATTTTATGTATTAATTCCATAAACAAATGCATGTTAAAATTGTCTACATATTTCATGATTATTTTTGCTCAAATTGACAGAATCATCTAACAAATACTCTGATTATAACAAAGCACATTAAACCAATTAAAACTGCATGCTCACAGTATACATGCAGTTTACTACAGGATATATATTTAGTCATTGATTAACTTTGTTATCACAGAACACAAATCTGTTTTTCCCTGAAAATGTTCTAACAATTACAAACTAAACTGTCACTGAAGGAAGAACCCTTCCACTTTACCTTAATAGGACTATTTCCATGTTTTACCATTCATTATTTTGTACTGGGTAATCGAGTAATACCACGTCACTCTTCCGAATATCACAGACACAACAGTAATTAACACTGACCCTTTCAGACAGGACCTGACAATGCAATCTGTCTTCATTGGAGGTAGACACAATAGATTATTGGATGATCTAACTATTTAAACATATTCACTGAAAATACTATTTTCACGATTCATAAATTCTGTTAAGGCTAACACACCAGTGTGTGAAATATCTTGCATCAGCAAATGGTCACATGTACCAAAAGCCCTTCAAAACAAATTCCCTGATTTGTTATAGAAAATCACTCTATGAAAAGTGAATTCTTATAATTTGATTGATAAATACTGTTGTAATGCCCGATTACTAAACCATTGTTTGCAGCTGTACAAACTGAAACAAAAAATTTGGATGGGACCTTGGAACTTATACTAGTGAAGCCTAAAAATGTCTGATCTAAACAATCAGGCAGCTGTTTCATACTCTGAATCAGATACAGATACATAAACACTACACAGTAATATATGGTGGTAACAAACCCAAAGGGACCACTGATTTTAGTCCATTATAACCGCTCTTTGTTATAAGCACACAGCAAAGTGGACATGCATTCACAGTTGATGGTGGAGTGAGTGAGTTTAGTTTTACCCCGCACTCAGCAATATTCCACCTATATGGCGGCGGTCTCCACGTAATCGAATCTGGACCATACAATCCAGTGATCAACAGCATGAGCATTGATCTACGCAGTTGGGATACAATGACATGTGTCAACTTAGTTAGCGAGCCTGACCACCTGATCCCGTTAGTGGGAGATGGTGAAACTGAACCCAAGAATACTGATGATGGATCCTCATGAAACAGCTCATACAATAAGTTTCAAAGATCTGAAAATAACTTATCCCCTATTGTTAGACAAGATAAACCTGTCTCTGTCAGATGACATGATTGACATTGAATCTGCCATTTCGTCTGTAAACTTCAGTTGTTCATCAAAATATTGTTTATGTAATGTCTGCACAATGCAACAGCCCAAAATATTGACTTCTAAAGGTTCCCAGTGAGTAGAAAACATGAAACATGGAATAAAAAGTTCAGAATATTTAATATTCATGCATCAAACTATTGTAATGCACCATGAAGGGCAAAATACTTCCAACATGACCACTCAGAAACAAGAAAAATACCTTTTGGAAGTAACTTTTTTATATGAAGTAAAAAAACCACTCATAAACATTTGATGACAAATTCTCACCTGAATGTTGGAGTGAGTTTAGTTTTATGCCGCTTTTAGCAATATTCCAGTAATATTACGGCAGGGGACATCAGAAATGGGCTTCACACATTGTACCCATGTGGGGAATCGAACCTGGGTCTTCGATGTGACGAGCAACGCTTTAATCACTGGGCTACCCATCACCCCACTGAATGTTGGAAGTGTGGCAAGCTCCATTCGGGCATTAGGAGACCACTTCTAAGACAGTTTAAATAAATTATAAAAAATTCTTCCAATGGATCCATGAAAAAATCTGAAGGCTAAAGACTCGAATAAGAAAAAGAAAATGAATAAGTGTACTTGAAAGTCTTAAAAAAAAGAATCAGGATTAAAGAAAAATCTGAAATCTAGTTCATGTTTGAGCATAACATCTACAACATGCAGCTAGGTCAATAATGTGTTCCAAAATGACACCCATGACCAAACAGTAATGAATAGTTGTACAACTAGCACTCTCTTAGTACTCAGATACACAACATCACAGGACTCACAACACTGATGACAGAGATAATCATGACATAGTATTGTTATCATTGAGCTATGATTATGAATCATTGTCTAATTGTCTGAATATGAAATGTCTACAATAAAAATACAAAAAATGTATATGATAACTGACATGAGAAATAATGTTTCTATGTAGCAGAAATAATCTGAATACATATGATGCTATATGATGCAGTTACCTCATCCACGCAGTCAGGCATCATTCTTCATCAGATGTAAGTCGCAAACTGGCGCTAAGGACACACGCATTAAATATATCTGCCAATGTGAGCTGTCTATATTTGTAGGCTGGTTCTTCATCTCTGGCTACAATTTCATGAAATACTTCTTAAACCAACACATCAATCTCCTCTATAATATTAAGTATGCTTTATTTCATTGAAAGCAAACTCTGAAACAGTAGCTGTTTTGTTTGATCAACATATTGTTTTCCAAATCCTATGGACCACTCATTAAAACTTCACATACAATGACTCAAAGTATACATTTGGAGGAATGCAATTAAGGAAGGTAATAAGATATAGTTTCTAAAGGCTTAGTGAGTTACAAAACTGGCACAAGTGATCTGTTTACACTCAGAAGGCAGGTTGACATCTAGGTCAAATTCCTATCATGTACATTTCAGTCATGCGATATACCTGTGAAAACAATGCAAGATGCACCTGATTCTCACCATGCTTATACTGTACTTGATAATATGACTGAGTTTTCGTTTTACGCCGCTTTTAGCAATATTCCAGCAACATCACGGCGGGGGACACCAGAAATGGGCTTCACACATTGTACCCACTTGATAATATGAACAAACAGTATCAATGATAAGGTGGGAATATAAACATCATAGGATCTCAAGCAATAACACAAGATGGTGAACCATTTCAATTATTGGTCCACATTAATTTTTTAGTTTCTATAGGAATGTTTGAACTGATGAAGGTATTGAGAGTGAAACCAAGTGTTTTTTAACACAGTGAGCTGTCAGCAATATCATTTTTATATAGAGGTCCCACTGAATCTGAACTCAGTAAACTGGAGGTTGACAGCATGAGCAGCGATCACAACAACACAACTACATGGGTAACAAATTATTACTAATACACAATGCCATTTAGAAAGTGGTCAAATGTAACATATGTTCTATTTGGGATTACACTTTCTCAATAAAGTACAGATTCTAGTACTTTTGTTAGGGTTGAGTCCATCCAGGATTTGAACCCCCACTCTCAGAGTCAGGTGCCCAATAGCCAGCACTCTAAAGTACACAAAGTATGTGATGTAGACTACTAGTTGTCCGACTTACATTCTTGAGGAAGCTGCTGTGTCTCAGCAGGTCAGAGCGCTGACTTTGTGTGCTGGCGATTAGCTGCCTGAAATATTGTGTTGTCTCACATCTTACCAACTCAGCCTGTGGAAGTCGTGGTGGCTGAGTGGGTTAGATGTCTGACTTTGTGTGCTGGCGATTATGTGCCTGACTCTGAGAGTGTGTGTTCGAAACAAATATGGGACATAAACTTTACAAAAGTACCAGAATCTGTCCTTCATTGTGAAAGTGTAATCCAAAATATAACATATTTCACATTTATCAAATTAATACCATCCAATGCCATCACACTTTTCCAACATACATTTGTTACATACATGAACACTCCATTGTCAAAGAACCAACAATATTTTGTATAAAACTGTTGCACTGCATTATATGCAACAACAAAAAAGGGAGAATGTATCGCCCATATATACATCATCTGAATCTCAGGATTTGAATTAATTCTACACAGAATAACAACATTGCAACAACAAAGAGCACCTCATAAAACAATCAACTTGATTTATAATCAACCCGTAATGAGCATCAGGTTTAATTACCAGGACAGCCATGGAAATAACCTGCTTATACAGAATGTGTTAAGGTATGTTAAACTGTTAATACATAAACAAATATAGAACATATCACATAAACCCCCAAATAAAATTCAGATTATATAGACAACAGATGATAATAAGTCTCTTCTTGGTTAAAACATCTTCCATAAGCAAGAGAGCCCACTTGGGCGTATCAAAGGCAAGAGCGAGTGAGTGAGTTTAGTTTTATGCCACTTTTAGCAATATTCCAGCAATATCATGGCTGGGGGCACCAGAAATGGGCTTCACACATTTTACCCATGTAGGGAATCGAACCAAGGTCTTCAGCGTCACGAGCGAACGCTTTAGCCACTAGGCTACCCAACCGCTCCTATGAAAGGCAAGAAGAACCTAGATTTTGATATAAGCTAGTGGACATCCTTATCTCATCCTTCTCTCAGGTGGGATTGGGTATATGTACATCAAAACTGCGGTACCTAATCAACAAATTAACCATTATTCGTCAAAAGCCAAAATATTTAACAACAGAGGTATTGAATAGGAATAAATTAGCTCTTGGGTATTCATGAAATTATACCTCCAATAACAAAGAGTAAGCAAGTTACAATTTAACGTCACTTCGGCAATATTTCAGCCATATAGTGACCCAATAACAAAGATTTTTATGCTCTCTAAATGTTCACATAATACTATCTGTACAATCCAAATATATTCTTACAATATGAACACTCAGCATTTAATCTTGGCATCTTTTCATGATTGTGAGCGAGTATGGTTTTAAGCTGCTTTTAGCAATATTCCAGTAATATCACAGAGAGGGACACCAGAAAAAGGATTCACACAATGAATAGAACCCAGGCCTTGTGCTGGACGAGTGGACGCTTTAACCATTAGGCTACCACTCTGTCTCTTTCATGATTGTAGCAGGTTGATAAAATGGCAAACTAAATACTGACTGACTGGGTTTGGTTTTACGCCGCTTTTAGCAATATTCAGCAACATCATGGCAGGGGACACCAGAAATGGGCTTCACACATTGTACCCAGCAACTCGGTCTTCGCTGATAAACGCTTTAACCATTAGGCTACCCCAACTTGAAAAATGGCAAACTAAAACTATAACAGTGTCTTCGTTCTCAGAAACCTTGTAAGTTATATAACAATTCTTGGAAAAACACTGCTCACCGAAACATAAGATAGTCCCTGAATCACATTATTTTCCCTTCTGCTCAGCCCTAAATGAAGCAAGTCTAGATTTCTCTCAGGTTCAGATTCTGAATCTCCCAGCATACTTGAGCACCTCTTCAATTTAATGGAGCTATTTGTTTCTATCAAAATTCTACATTTCAGAGACTTAGTATTTGTCTAATTTCACGAGATTCAAAGATGCTTTCTAGCAGTTACTGAAATCCTGAGTGGTTTGACTGCAGGTATCATAACGTATGTTGGCACAAGGGTAAGCAACTCTGGTAGAGCTGAGTGTATTGGTGATGTGTCACACACTCTGATGTGAGTATGGGGCAGTAAGGGCTTGTACACATTCATAAGTCCTGGATGCACTAAGTAGGCCTTCAGTAATATCGGTCACACTCACAGATGTAGGTCAATGATACAGACATTTACACGTTAGTTCATCACACAATGTGACATCATGAGCAACAATCCATGTCCACTGAGTATCATGACGCACACTCAACAAAGTTACATAGGTTGACCATTCTATCAATGAAGTCTCCTCTTACGACCTGTATCCCAAGCTGAGACCCGACCCCCTGAACTGAGTATCATGACGCACACTCAACAAAGTTACACAGGTTGACCATTCTATCAATGAAGTCTCCTCTTACGACCTGTATCCCAAGCTGAGACCTGACCCCCTGAACTGAGTATCATGTCAACAAAGTTACATAGGTTGACCATTCTATCAATGAAGTCTCCTCTTTACCTGTATCCCAAGCTGAGACCCAAGAACTGAGTATCATGACGACACTCCTGACCATTCTATCAATAAAGTCTGACGACCTGTATCATGAGACCTGACCCCTGAACTGAGTATCATGACACACTCAACAAAGTTACATAGGTTGACCATTCTATCAATGAAGTCTCCTCTTACGACCTGTATCCCAAGCTGAGACCTGACCCCCTGAACTGAGTATCATGACACACACTCAACAAAGTTACATAGGTTGACCATTCTATCAATGAAGTCTCCTCTTACGACCTGTATCCCAAGCTGAGACCTGACCCCCTGAACTGAGTATCATGACGCACACTCAACAAAGTTACATAGGTTGACCATTCTATCAATGAAGTCTCCTCTTACGACCTGTATCCCAAGCTGAGACCTGACCCCCTGAACTGAGTATCATGACACACACTCAACAAAGTTACATAGGTTGACCATTCTATCAATGAAGTCTCCTCTTACGACCTGTATCCCAAGCTGAGACCTGACCCCCTGAACTGAGTATCATGACGTACACTCAACAAAGTTACATAGGTTGACCATTCTATCAATGAAGTCTCCTCTTACGACCTGTATCCCAAGCTGAGACCTGACCCCCTGAACTGAGTATCATGACGTACACTCAACAAAGTTACACAGGTTGACCATTCTATCAATGAAGTCTCCTCTTACGACCTGTATCCCAAGCTGAGACCTGACCCCCTGAACTGAGTATCATGACACACACTCAACAAAGTTACATAGGTTGACCATTCTATCAATGAAGTCTCCTCTTACGACCTGTATCCCAAGCTGAGACCTGACCCCCTGAACTGAGTATCATGACGCACACTCAACAAAGTTACACAGGTTGACCATTCTATCAATGAAGTCTCCTCTTACGACCTGCATCCCAAGCTGAGACCTGACCCCCTGAACCTTCCAGTCATCTTGGCAACTACCAAGACACAGGACTCAGGGTTTAAGTTTTGGATTCAAACCCAAGAGGAACATATACACAATATGAAATGTATAATGGCTAATCTCACAGTGACTGACACAAGATAGACAATTAAATTATATAATTTCCTACTAATCACATACTTCCTCTAACTATTTCCTCCACAGAAACCTGACACTTACACTCTTACATCCAATAATATGAAATATAGGAAGACGCCCACAACAGGCGTGATCTTTCAAAATGCCAAGGGGGAAGTGTTTGTGGGAAAACATTTTGATGTTGTTATTTAATTTAAATAACATCAGAAAGCTGCTGGTGTTGTTAAAGAGTGTCACTTATACTTTTAAGTCATGTAGACTTTTAATGTAACCAAAATTCATAATGTGAAACACAAATGAAGAATTACATTTTGACAATTGCTATACGTTGACAATTGCTATACACGTTAACAATTGCTATACGTTGACAATTCCTGTACATGTTGACAATCTATATTCCTTCAGATTCAATATGGGTCTGTCAAAACCAAAGAAAAGGGTACACCTAAAATATTGTGACACTGGAAATGGGTGTCACACTATACAGAACAAAACGTTTTAGGGGACATTAATATTTGAGGGATACTTTCTTGCAGAGAATTACAAATTTGTACAAATTTCCATCAAATATTCATGATCTCCAACTTTTTCTGTTCATTATCAGAGATGCCAACCCCAAAGTGTTGCAAATAGTAGTTTCAAGGATCAAAATTAGTAGTTTAACCATAAATTAGTAGTCAACTAAAAACTTATAAATCATGATGGATTCTGAGAAAGATAATATGACACTAATCAAGAGTGAAGCGTTAATCTCACATACCTCCAACAGCAGATTTCCAAATTATCAGCATTACACTTCTTCTTAACGTTGCTTTTAGGTGAAAATGTATTTAATTGACGAAAATATATACTTTTGGTTTAAACATATCTTTATTCCTAGAGAATCTGGTTTGGTAAACAAGCAGAACTCTGCTTATATCAATACCTCACCAGTACATATATCATTTAAACAAATACATAAGAACTGGATACAAAAAACGACAAATTAAATCATATATGTGCGTTGTAGGTGCTTATAAACATTGAGCTTGCAGCTACACTTCATTAATTGATTGCATATAATTGTTAATATAATTTGTCAAATCGTTTAGACTTAAAGATGTATTGATGCAGGGACTCTATTATGTTCTTATTGACGCTGTTGTTTGCCGGAGGTATTCCGTATAACACAGTTTGGAGATTGTGGCCATTTACATAGAAGTAGGTATTATTTCTAGTAGCAATGTATAACTTACATGTAAAAAGATAATGAACAGTATCTTCATTGTGGTATCCACATGCTTTTGTCTATATACCTGAATTTTAATGATTTTTAAAAAGATTTTGTAGAATTTCAAGTGCAATCGTATTGGCGTAGTTAGAGGCTAAAATTCGTAGCGACTACGATAAAATCATAGAGGTTGGCATCTCTGCAGTATATATGTTTTGGCTACAGAAGATATATAGTCAGGCAGCAGTGAATCGACCATTAACCTGTACTGATCCAAAGGATCCTAAATTACAACTTCTCAAAGGATATACGAGGGTCCTTAAGTGAAATAGTATAGTGTACTGAAACATAAGAATCAGTAATTACTTTAATTATCTTACAAGAATTCAATACAATGACTATTTTTCTACATGGGACGCTAGATACATTTTTTTCAAAACACAACATTGAAGACTACACAATGTTATTAGGTAATGCAAATTTTGTACATATTGCATGGAATGTGAGAGCTTGTTTCCTGAGTGCATCAGCTGCCAAAGAAGTAACATCTCTGTCTGAGGGGTGTTCAGGTAATATTTTTTTAAAATGTCTATCTTATTTGGAAATATATGGTTAGTAGAGACCAATTAATTTCCAGGTGTTATTTATGGAGTAAATAATTGTAGGGACCATTGATACACACACATGAACAGTTGATACACAGGTGGACAATGATGCACACATGAGCGAATGTTATACGTTGATACACCATGGAATGTTGATATGTGAACAGTTGCCATTTTATGGACAATTGATGTATATACATACATCTGACATCCTTCACTATCCATCTGAACAACCGATACTCATATGGACAAATGCTGTATACAAACTCAGCTGGTTTAAGTACCGCTGACACAGCAGTTTCCTGTAACAATATCACATGGCTTATCGTATGGGTCGACACTTCCTGTCACCCAAGTCTCCAGGCCAGAAGTCTGTGGAAGTGTGACAGAGCCTTCGCTAACACAACATATCATGAGCTCCAGTAAACTACAAATAGTAAGCAACTGTACTCTATTAACATGACCATGAAAAATATATTTTTATGAGTTTCTTGGATAAGGGACTAAGCAAATTATATTTTTGGATTTCACAAAAATAACCTGATCTGTTCCAGACAGTACTGGAGACAAAATGTCCCAGCATCAGGTTTACTAAAAGTTCTTAAAATATTGTTTTAAAAAAATAGAATAGTTTGACTCATCTTCTCAGAACCTTTTTGTATGTCTTGATGCCATGATTAAGAAATATTCATAATTTATCTCTGTAAAAGAAGACAAATCCTTTACCTGTCCCGTTCCTTATACCAGATGGTCAGTCTGTAACTGATGACAAGATAGTGAGGATGATTAACCTCTTTTGTTCTATTGTTAGAGATGGTGTGCTTGTTTGTTAGGATATCCACTGAAAACTGTAATGTAACAAGACAAGCACCCATACTATCTAGTCATCATTTACTTATCTAACATATAAATGTCACATAAAGATCTAGTTTTTAGCATTTATAGTTAGAATATCTGAAACAGAATATCTGATTTGGACAGGTAAGAGTCTTGCTCGTTACAAAATGACATATTATATTGTTTTTGCAGTTTCAAACATGCATTGTCACTTTGTGATGATTGATGATTAATTAAACAGGAACAATTAGCAAAAATAACTGATCTTCACTATACAGGTCATTTCAGTATAGACTTGTTTCCTGTTTCAAGGACCATAATGTTGATTACTGGATAGGTTACTTTTTGTATAGTATCTTGAATACAAATAGTTCCAAGTATAATATATATGTGACTCTGTAAATTCTGTTAGTGACTCTACTGTGAATATTCACAGAGTTGGAACTTTCATTTTTCAAGGCCATGTGATCTCCTTGGGCAGGCAGTGTATTGCTGTGAATACTGGATCATACCCGTGTATTGCAGTGAATACTGGATCAAACCAGTGTATTGCAGTGAATACTGGATCATACCAGTGTATTGCAGTGAATACTGGATCATACAAGTGTATTGCAGTGAATACTGGATCATACCAGTGTATTGCAGTGAATACTGGATCATACCAGTGTATGTTGGTGTGAACTGGATCATACCAGTTTGTTTCACTGTACACTGGACCAAACCAGCATATTTTAGTGTCATCTGAATCTTACCAGTATGTTTTCATAGGCCAGGTGATACCCTTGTGCAGGCAGTGTACTTCAGTGAAAAGTGGATCATATCAGTGTATATTAGTATGAACTGGATCAAGTAAACTTGATCAAACTAGTATATTTTAGTGTCAGCTAAATCTTACAATAGTATTTTAATGTGAACTTTACCATATTGGTGTAGTTCCGTTTCATTCAAGAAGATATGTTTGAAAACCAGTCTATTCTGGATTGAACCAGTATGTGCATCACATGCTGCCTTCCATCAGCTGTCTTCCAAGAGCAGAATATGGTGGATGTGTGAGAGTGAGTGAGTGAGAGAGAGAGAGATGTCAGCTTGAGCTCAGAAGGACTTCACTCCCGTCATCTTGCGAACCTGCTCATAACTCAGCCAGAAAACTAAGGACCAGGGAGCCTGTAATACAAAAGATCTACAGTAGCATCACCTTCAGTGGAGTAAGTGAGTGAGCATTGTTTTGTGACACTTAGCAATACTCCAACAATATCACGATGGGGTTACCAAAAATGGACTTTGGTGTAATGGACTTCACACACTATATACAAGAGGTGACTCAAAACTGTAGTCTTTGTCATTATATTTATTAATTAGCATTCCACATCATACTGTAACCTGTTCATGGATGCAAACAATTAAAGCCATCAGCTTGTCCACACTTACCATTCTTGCCCAAGTAGGCAGGAACCCTTTATATAAAGCAAAGAATCCTTCCTGTGATACAGTCTTCATTAAACAGTCAACTGACCCTTTGTACACCAGACCTCTGAAACAATGAAAGACAACTGACCCTCTGTATACCAGACCTCTGAAACAATGAAAGACAACTGACCCTCTGTACACCAGACCTCTGAAACAAAGAAAGACAACTGACCCTCTGTATACGAGACCTTTGAAACAATGAAAGACAACTGACCCTCTGTACACCAGACCTCTGAAACAATGAAAGACAACTGACCCTCTGTATACCAAACCTCTGAAACAATGAGAGACCCTCTGTATAACAGACCTCTGAAACAATGAGAGACCCTCTGTATACCAAACCTCTGAAACAATGAAAGACAACTGACCCTCTGTATACCAAACCTCTGAAACAATGAGAGACCCTCTGTATACCAGACCTCTGAAACAATGAGAGACCCTCTGTATACCAAACCTCTGAAACAATGAGAGACCCTCTGTATACCAAACCTCTGAAACAATGAGAGACCCTCTGTATACCAAACCTCTGAAACAATGAGAGACCCTCTGTATAACAGACCTCTGAAACAATGAGAGACCCTCTGTATACCAAACCTCTGAAACAATGAGAGACCCTCTGTATACCAAACCTCTGAAACAATGAGAGACCCTCTGTATACCAAACCTCTGAAACAATGAGAGACCCTCTGTACACCAGACCTCTGAAACAATGAAAGACATCTAAACCTTTGTACACCAGACCTTAGTAACAATGAAAGTCAACTTGCACAACTGTACACAATACCCCAGATTTGAAGCCAGATTCTGAACTACATGTCCTCTACAGCAAAGTAGCCAGATTCTGAACTACATGTCCTCTACAGCAAAGTAGCCAGATTCTGAACTACATGTCCTCTACAGCAAAGTAGCCAGATTCTGAACTACACGCCAGATGTCCTCTACAGCAAAGTAGCCAGATTCTGAACTACATGTCCTCTACAGCAAAGAGTCAACTAACTGCACAAGAAATGCCAGAGGTACAGAAGGTCACCTTTATCAGATGATACATACCTTGTGATGGCACACAAATAACATTTAAACCCTCTGAGTTTTTACTTGATGTCTTTTCTAATTGTTTGAACATTTTGTGGCACTTTTCTGAGTAACGACTTGAGGGTGACTACTCAACTGACAGCTACCATGACAACATTGTACATGTAATCAAAACCATACTTCAGTGTAAATAAGAAGCTAACGAACATCCATTAAATATTTGAAATCTGAAATCCACTGGTGTCAAAGTTTCCAGGTTGGCACAATCAACTGGACAACAGCTGTGGTCATTCTAATTAAAAGACATTAAAAGACATGATGTCCCATTTTTAGCTGAAAAGGGGCATCAAACACATTTCATTACAAGACAAGAAGATTTTGCATTAAACAATGTATTTTCTTCAAGAAAACCTGATGCAATATAACACAGCCCCATATGCTACTGTTGGTTGATTGGTTTGTTGTTTAATGCCACTCTCGGTTACTGGCCCCATCCATTCTTCCCTGAACATCCAATGTTTGGTCCCCTAGCAGCCCAGCTATAGTTACGTAGATTTACCTGCCATTCTCCGTAGGCTGGTTCATGACGCGTGACTTGACAACATCCGCTGGCGTACCCATCAGCGCTGCTACAATCCCTGAACATGCACTGTGTACGAACAATCAGAACATGTTATGCAATATAACAATCCCACATGCTTTACAAGGAAACAAATCTTTTCTAAACTCAATTATCACTTAAAACAATCAAGATATACCCGGTAAGGTATTTTTTCAAAATTGATGTACTTTTTTCTATTTTTTATTTAAACTACCTACTGAGATGTAGGTTTATATAAACACTGTTAAATCTGACAATTCCTGCAATCATTTAATTTTCTTCACCATTTAATTTTATCAGCATAGTTACATGGATTGAATTGAAATTAAATATATTTGTATCTATTTTCCAAAGTAATTATAAAGAGAATACAAATTATATATGTGCACAGGAATAAGGTGTATGTTCAGTCTAAATGTAGCTAGGTAATGGACAGGGTAGCTACCTTGCTATTGTATGCGTCACATAGTTATCCTTCAGGCTGGTATGAGCAAGTACCTTGTGTTTGGCTGTGTCGTACGTTGCAAGATCTGGGATCAAAGTCACATCAATAACCATCACAACACAACTTCAAACCGAACTTAACTCTACTTCCAGTGTGAAAAATGGAAATATCAGATGATTTCCGAGTGTTACGATGTTTTCCGAATGCATGTGGAAATACCGGTTTTCGATCAGCGTATTGCAATACGTATCGATTTCATGTCTGAACCGGTTATATTGCGCAGCCCTAGCTACGTGTAATGTGAAATGAACATGAGCCCGTAATCCTGAATTGCCCACAACTCGATGATAACAAACCAATAAAGGCATGACAATTTCAAAAATAAAAGATAAGATTTATAGTATGGTAAATACAGCTCAGATGTATTGAATATATTCAAAGATCAATGTTGTGTAGACAAGTAAGGGTTAGTCGGAAAGAAATTTGTAAATATAGGCCATATATGTAGACATAAATATTAGGTTGCAACGGTGCAAGTTTTTTTAGTTCAATTGAATCCTGTATTCCCCCTGATGATAAATTGAAACATGTTGGAGAATGTATTCAGCATTGAAGTTTGTTATACATTCTAAACATATTGGACACTTAAATGGTATATGCCAGTCAAATGATCCTTTGCACACCAGACCTTAGTTACAATGAAAATCAACTTGCACAACTGTGCATTATACCCCAGATTTGACCACTGTGCATTATACCCCAGATTTGACCAAAAATTCACTCTCTTTCCCATAAGATGGTCATAATGTGCAAAACAGAACAATTTGGTTTGCAAGGGCAGTGAAATGAAGTATAAATCTCTATCATGCAACTAAAAAACAGCACTGCAATGAGAAATGAAAATGGGTTTAATTTGCATTTAAGATTATTCCACTTATACACTGAGAGCGACATAGATTATACTAATACACTAATGTGCATGTGGCGGCATGAACTTCTATGTGGCGGCATGCACTTCTATGTGGCGGCATGCACTTCTATGTGGCGGCATGCACTTCTATGTGGCGGCATGCACTTCTAAGTGTCGGCATGCACTTCTGTGTGGCGGCATGCGTTCTATGTGGCGCATGCACTTCTGTGGGGCGACATGCACTTCTATGTGGCGACATGCACTTTAATGTGGCAGCATGACTTCTATGTGGGGGCATGCACTTCTGTGTGGCAGTATGCACTACTATGTGGCTATATGCACTTCTATGTGGTGGCATGCACTTCTGTGTGGCGGCATGCACTTCTATGTGGCAGCATGCACTTCTGTGTGGCGGCATGCACTTCTGTGTGGCAGTATGCACTTCTATGTGGTGGCATGCACTTTTATGTGGGGGCATACACTTCTATGTAGGGGAATGCACTTCTATGTGGCAGCATGCACTCCAGTGTGGTGGCATGCACTTTTATGTGGGGGCATGCACTTCTATGTTGGGGCATGCACTTCTATGTGGCAGTATGCACTCCAGTGTGGTGGCATGCACATCTATGTGGCAGTATGCACTCCAGTGTGGCGGCATGCACTTCTATGTGGTGGCATGCACTTCTGTGTGGCGGCATGCACTTCTATGTGGCAGCATGCACTTCTGTGTGGCGGCATGCACTTCTGTGTGGCAGTATGCACTTCTATGTGGTGGCATGCACTTTTATGTAGGGGCATGCACTTCTATGTGGCAGCATGCACTTTTATGTGGGGGCATGCACTTCTATGTGGTGGCATGCACTTTTATGTGGGGGCATGCACTTCTATGTGGGGGCATGCACTTCTATGTGGAAGCATGCACTCCAGTGTGGTGGCATGCACGTCTATGTGGCGGCATGCACTTCTGTGTGGCAATATGTACTTCTATGTGGTGGCATGCACTTCTTTGTGGTGGCATGCACTTTTATGTGGGGGCATGCACTTCTATGTGGGGGCATGCACTTCTATGTGGCAGCATGCACTCCAGTGTTGTGGCATGCACTTCTATGTGGCGGCATGCACTTTTATGTGGGGGCATGCACTTCTATGTGGCGGCATGCACTTCTATGTGGCAGCATGCACTCCAGTGTGGTGGCATGCACGTCTATGTGGGGGCATGCACTTCTGTGTGGCAACTGTGTGGCAATATGTACTTCTATGTGGCGGCATGCACTTCTATGTGGCGACATGCACTTCTATGTGGTGGCATGCACTTCTATGTGGGGCATGTACTTCTATGTGGGGGCATGCACTTCTATGTGGCGGCATGCACTTCAGTGTGGCGGCATGCACTTCTATGTGGCGGCATGCACTTCTGTGTGGCAATATGTACTTCTATGTGGCGGCATGCACTTCTATGTGGCGACATGCACTTCTGTGTGGCAATATGTACTTCTATGTGGCGGCATGCACTTCTATGTGGTGACATGCACTTCTGTGTGGCGGCATGCACTTCTATGTGGAGGCATGCACTTCTATGTGGCAATATGTACTTCTATATGGTGTCATACACTTCTATGTGGTGGCATGCACTTCTATGTGGCGGCATGCACTTCTGTGTGGCGGCATGCACTTCTGTGTGGCGGCATGCATTAGTCTGGACTAATGTTGGTTTCACAGTGCTAGTCAAGAATCTGAGATACCGTGACAGATTCACATGGTTTTCCCACTCATGGATTTTGACTCTCAGATGACATGTCCTTGACTTATATCCATATTGACAAGAGCCAGGGAAACAAAAAGTACCATCTTTTAAAATTTCTTTTAGTATAACATGGAAGGAGATTGATCCTCTGATCCTTCGATCCTCAAGTTTCTGGCCAGACTCTATCCACTGACCACAGAGGTTATATTGATGCATGCAGTTCTCGATCATATTGATATATATACACTTCTAATTGTACTGATATATGCACTCCTGGGGCTAAATATTTACATGAAGGTAGTTCCATCCAGTCAACAATATTCCAACACAGGCACCTGACAAACCAGTGAAACTGTATGGCTGGATGCATCCATAATCATCAACATAGGTCAGATCTGCACCACATGTTGTTAAAGAACCATTGACAATAATTTGGTTTGCTGCTCATATCAAGCTGAAAATCAATGTCCAGCATGCAACTGACCTCCCATGTTGACCAGTGCTGCCCTCTGTACATTGGGTATCCAGCCCCGCCACAGACCTCGAATTCCGCCCTCTTTCATGATCTGTAGAAAGGCTTGACCTGCATTTTTCACTCTGCAAAGGGCGGAACAAGGACTAGAAGGTTTAATGTGTAACCAGAAGACAAAATACTGAAACAGAATATCTGTCACAAACTATCTGCTCTTTCCCCTTCCCAGTATCTGTTAACATCTTGAATGACATCATCAAATGTTTGACCCAAACTGCATAATGTGTGCTTTTCTTGTGCGCTACCTTCCTACAAAAGGAGTGTGCTCAAACACTAACATTATTATCCCGGTCACTGGATCAGTGAACATTTCAAGCCAAGCTGCCTGTAAGACACTAGAAGGTTAACAGTCATCTCATCCTACCTGGTACCCATTCACTGCTCAGTGAACAGAGGCACCATCTTTGTGGACCGTGTACCATCTATGTCTTAGCAGTAACCATCACATTGAGATCATCAGCTACATCACTCTGAGATCATCACATAGTAACACTGACATTAAGAACATTACCAGATCCAAGTAGATCAGGGTGAGTGGGTTAACTCCCAACAGGTGATATTTGATGGACTGAAGATCCCACACATCCCTGCTTTACATTGGGCAGTCAAAGTTAGCTCAAGGTTACAATGAGGTTACATCCTGTTGTGGAGTCATCCCAACTCATTTGTATTGTATTTTATTTTTTTATATAAGTCTTATATTTCCCATTGCCATGTTACAAATACAGGATCGTCGTTAAAACAGCGTTTGAAGTAAATATCATGTATAACAATAAGAAAAATTGTCCATTCACAATAAATACTGACATTTCTGTACGAGAGTTCTGACATTTTGTTTACAAATCATCGGCCGTAAACCCTACGAATTCAGTGTCACTGTCCTCGCCAGCCAGTTCCGTCCACGCTAACTCGTTGGTTCGATCATCATAATAATCTTCAAGATTGTCACACACAAGCACATCTTCGTCTTCCTTTCTGGCTTCGGGCGTTAGAAATTCCTCGAACAAGGCATTGTCTTCAGATCCGTCCATTGCATTTTAAATGCCACATTTCAAGAATGAATTCAAGAATGAAATTCATGCCACGAGTCCCTGACCCATTTCACAACTTCACTAAGTGGAGCCTTCCTCATGGCATTGGATTTCGTGAAAGTGTGTTCACCGTTAATCATCCAATCAGACCACTTTTCCCTGACGTTCACCTTGAATGGCTTGTTAAGAGAAACATCCAGTGGTTGAAGTAGAGATGTGCAGCCACCCATAATAACTGCCTGGTGTGTCTTCTTTTCCACCAACCTTTTCTTTACAGATTGACACAAATGGGCCCTAAACATATCCCAAACAAGTAGTGAGTTGCAGCCTCTCAATCCACCTGGTCTCGCAGACCACACATCCTCTACCCATCTGTTCCCTAGCGCCTCGTCCATCCATCCCTTGGGATGAACTGCAACTACAACACCTGTAGGAAACTTTTCCTTCGGCATTGTCTTACGCTTAAAGACAATCATCGGCTTTTTATTTTCGTTCCATCTGCCATACAGGTAAGTATGACTGTGAAGTGTTGCCTCTCGTTCCCTGTTGTTTTAACTGACACTGTCTTTATCCCTTTAATGTCAACGGTCTTTGATCCAGGCATATCAAAGCTGTGACAGATCATAGTTGATAGCATTTCTTTCCTTGCATAAATACGATGATAAAGTAGAATTTCCGTGTTGCAAGTATAGAATCGCTTGTTCCATAAGCGTTTGAAAGAAATATCAAGTACAGTTCAAGTTCAACATTTATATTTCACTGTCGAGTTAATACAGATGTGGTGTACATACTGCAGAAACTACAATGGGTCATTTGTATTGTTGGTTTATTGTTTAACGCCCCACTCAGCAATATTCCAGCTACAGAGGCGGATCCAGGATTTTGGAGAAGGAGGGTGGGTGAGTGAGTGGGTGGGTGTGCACATAAATCATTAAGTCCAAAGGTTAGGGGGTCTGGGAGAGTCCCTCTGGATCTGCCCCTGAGCTATATATAGTCAGGATACACTGGAGTATGAACCAGATAATCCAGTGATTGACATCATGAACATCAATCTACACAACTGGGATATGATGACATGCATCAAACAAGTCACCAAGCCCGAACACTTTGGTAAGTCACTTCTTATGACAAGCATGAGTTGCTGGAGATGAAACATTGTTTGCCTGCTACTGGGATTGTGTTCTAACCTATCAGGATTGTTCCCTGATCACTAGATGGTCTGATAGCTGTCTTGGTTATTTACCCACTCACCTAGGTGGCTTTCCCTCCAACTTGCGTTTCCCCTCCATCTGCATCTGTACCTTGACTAGATCCGTGGGACTTGCCACAAACTGGCCAGCAGCACCTGCGATCACCCCACCTAGTGATACTTTCCTGAAGCCAAGGTTAATCAGTTCATTGCTTGTCCATTGAAATAGAATATTGTCTACTGGGAACCACTGAGTGAGTGAGTGAGTGAGTGAGTGAGTAAGTGAGTATGGGTGCGTGAGTGAGTGGGTATGGGTGAGTGAGTGAGTGAGTGAGTGGGTGGGTATGGGTGCGTGAGTGAGTGGGTATGAGTGAGTGAGTGGGTGGTTGGGTATGGGTGCGTGAGTGAGTGGGTATGGGTGCGTGAGTGAGTGGGTATGGGTGAGTGAGTGGGTGGTTGGGTATGGGTGAGTGAGTGGGTATGGGTGAGTGAGTGAGTGAGTGGAGTGAGTGGGTGGATGAGTGGGTGGGTGGGTGGTGGGTATGGTTGTGTGAGTGAGTGGGAATGGATTAATGAGTAAGTGGGTGAGTGGGTGGATGAGTGGGTGGGTAGGTGGGTATGGTTCTGTGAGTGAGTGGGACTGGGTGAATGTGTAAGTGGGTGAGTGGCTGGGTGAGTGGCTGGATGAGTGCAAGGGTGGGTATGGGTGAGTTCACACACGGCACACATGGGAGATCGAACCCAGACCTTCAGCGTGAAGAGCTTTATCAACAAGGCTATCTGACACACAACAAACTGCTCAAACCACCTGATGCTCTTTAGCAGGCTAAACAACAAGGTTGAGACCTGTTGGCATACAGACAGTTGACTCATCTGTCAACAGGTGGTAAAATGTGTCTTTACTTCAATCTGAGTGTGACTTTGAACCTGTCACTGGAAGGACATTGGGGAGAATGTGCAAACAAACTACACATTATACAGTGACATGGTGGTGAGGGAGGTGCAACCTAATGAATGTGAGTGAGTGAGTGAGTGATGTATACTATATTTATTGAGCAACATCACGGTAGGGGGACACCAGAAATGGGCTTCACACATTGTGCCCAAGTGGGGATTCGAATCCGGGTCTTCGGCGTGACGAGTCAACGCTTTAACCACTAGGCTACCCCACCGCCCCTCACACTTCCAACATTCAGTTGGATAATGGGTAGCCCAGTGATTAAAGCGTTCGTTCGTCACATCGAAGACCCAGGTTCGATTCCCCACATGGGTACAATGTGTGAAGCCCATTTCTGGTGTCCCCTGCCATAATATTGCTGGAATATTGCTAAAAGCTTGTCCATTGCTTGTCCATTGAAATAGAATATTGTCTACTGGGAACCACTGAGTGAGTGAGTGAGTGAGTGAGTGAGTAAGTGAGTATGGGTGCGTGAGTGAGTGGGTATGGGTGAGTGAGTGAGTGAGTGGTTGGGTATGGGTGAGTGAGTGAGTGGGTATGAGTGAGTGAGTGGGTGGTTGGGTATGGGTGCGTGAGTGAGTGGGTATGGGTGCGTGAGTGAGTGGGTATGGGTGAGTGAGTGAGTGGGTGGTTGGGTATGGGTGAGTGAGTGGGTATGGGTGAGTGAGTGAGTGAGTGAGTGAGCAACATCACGGTAGGGGGACACCAGAAATGGGCTTCACACATTGTGCCCAAGTGGGGATTCGAATCCGGGTCTTCGGCGTGACGAGCCAACGCTTTAACCACTAGGTTAACCCCACAGCCCCAAATGAGAGCGGGTCTATCCATAAAATATGAAAAAAAATAAGAACTTTTGAGAGCACAAGGAAGACATTTCTCAATCTAAAACTTTATCTATGTATATCTGCAAAGGAGACAACAGGTACAACAACAAATTGCATATACATGATGCACACTGAGTAAGAGGAGATAGATCACCTTTAGACTGAGTTTGTTTTTTACGCAATATTCCAGATCACCTTTTTGCAAATATGTAGGCTACCCCACCGCCCCATCACCTTTAGAAATATGTAGCAAAACTTAACACACTGCTACAGTGCCATCAGGTTTATACCAAAAATTACCCCACTAGTACGGTCACAAGGGTTTCTATTAACAAGAGCCATCAGAAGATGACAAATCCCCGCCCCCACATATTTGAAAGAACAAATCATCTCACAGTTACTGAAAGTCCATCTTGAACTTTATTAGACTAAGTCCAAATCGTTTCCATGGAAATCATGAAAAATGTAAATGCCCAAAATCTGTAAATAGCAAAAGGCACCACTTTAGGTTCTGTTTGATACATCTACCAATTATTGTTGAAAAATAGTGAACAGTTTTCAAGTTATGCTCCAAATAAAATGATTACGGACAGACGGACAAGGCATCAACTGTATCCCCCTGCATTACATGCCGGGGATAAAAAGTGACTAACTATCCCCTGAAAACTTATTACATTGTCCAGGGGATAAAAAGTGACCAGTCTGTCACAAGAGTTTAACTGAAAACTTACCACATTGTCACAAGGGTTTCACTGAAAACCTACCACACTGTCACAAGGGTTTCACTGAAAACCTACCACACTGTCACAAGGGTTTCACTGAAAACTTACCAAACTGTCACAAGGGTTTCACTGAAAACTTACCAAAAGTTTCACAGAAAACTTACACTGTCACAAGGGTTTCACTGAAAACTTACCACACTGACGATGAGCCATCAGGATTCTTTCCCAAAACTTTGTCTCGCAGGATTTCATAGAATGACATTCTGCACCCAGAATACACTGTAATCAAACACATGATATACACTTCCACTCCTAATGTCCATGAGTCAAAGGACAATGGTCAGACTCTTCACAGGCATCTAGACAAACTGGCTTAAACCACCATCAATCATCAGATCTTATTCCAAAAGTCTAGATGTAAAAACATGGCAAACAATATGGTGACATAGATATTTTATTCATTTAAAAACTGACTGCAATATACAATAACCTCACAGACTGTTTATTTATTCATTAACAAGAATAAAACATCACACCAATACAAAATCAGTGTCATATTTCAGCCCAATAAATACCTCACAAGTCCCTTGCAATCTATTGTGCTGGGCATATTGTGTTTGAACAGCTATCAAGATGCTTTAAACGACACAGCAACATCAACCATTGTATAACACTATAGTAAGTCTGTCTCAGAGCTGTTTCAGTGTACAGGTTATAACTAGACCAAATATTACTAGGGGTGATACGGTACGCTCTTACCACAGTATGGTACCTATTGCAGTACAAGGCCTTCGGTTCGGTTCGTTATATGAGATATGATCAGAATGCAGAAAATTGACAACAAGAGCCAACCCTTACATTGTTTAATAACACTGAGAAAAAAATAACCATCATCTTGGTTATTTTGAATGAACAAAACTATCATATTTTTAACTAGATGGAAGAACGGTTCGAAAACTGAAAATACCAAATTTTTGGATTGCATTACGGTGTACCGAACCAAATTCAAAATACCACAGTTCTACTAATAAAAGCGGTATACCATTTCACCCCTAAATATTACTGATAACTATCTGTATTCACAGTGACAAAAAAAATTAAAAATCATTGAGTATGTCTTGTCAAAAACTGTATCTTCTAAAATACCTTCCACTAACCACAATAACACCTGCAAATCCAAAATTACAAAATGATAACCAAAAAAAGGTTACACACTGCTATGTCAAATTTGAAGAGACCTAGTTAAAGTCTTCGAGTAATACGTGCTGATGACTAAATAATGAACAAGCATAGGTTCAAGACAAGCAGATGTAGGACACATTAAAGTTCAAGGCTACAGTGTGTGACTGTACATACCTACATGTCTGTATAAAGCAGGGGTGACACCTTGCCACAGTTTTAACACACCTTCTTCTTTCACTGGCAAATAAAACCAAACACAAGTCACATATCTTGGTAGAAGCCTGAAGAACATACACAAAAATAAATATAAATACAGAATTCAGCAAACCCTGCAGACAAATCACTATGTGAACATGATTTCAGTCGCCAAAACACATCAGAAGGGTTTTTCTGAAGAATAGTCTACCAAACATACACTGCTGCTTTGAAATCATGTTTCTCATGAAGACATTTTTCATATGACCATTTGATTTGACACTGTCATTTAGACATTTTCTTTTGACACTGTAGGACATGGCATAATCAGGGCTCGATTTAGTGCTTTGTTACTTGCACTGGTGCAACCCAATATTACAAAGTGCAACCTAGTTATTTGTCTAACTTGCACCAGGTGCAAGTCAACTTTTTGAGAAATATATCAACAATAAACCTAACATTACAAGCATAATTATGTCAGCTCATTTGTCTTCTAAACTTTGAATAATTCAATAGCATATTTCTTTCATTACATATTGCAATAAAGGCAGTGCAACTGGAATTTTGCTGGTGCAACTAGGTTTTTATCTTAGGTTGCAACTGGTGCAAGTAGGTTAACGTCTCTTTTGAACAGTAGCTAAGTATTTGTAAAGTGTAAATGCATTACATTACAGTTTTTACACTGCATTGCCAGCTTGTCATGTTTGTGATGGAACAGTAGTCTGCAAATACCAATAATAGTTGTTGGTTATTAAATGGAATGAAGTTTCAAAATAACTCTTGCCTTTTACTTGGAACTTCCTTTTACCAAGGCGTATGAAGAAGTGTAAGTCAAAAGTTGTCTGTTACAGTGGACACTAGACTAACAACTAGTCTCTAAAATGAACATATTTTACTGAAAAAAGTTCAAAGTAAAAAAAAAATATATATAATGAAAAGGAGCCCTGAGACTTTCTTCATTTTCAGAGACTAAACAAATCTGCAGAGGGATAATTTCTTGGAATTTCACAACATGTACAAAGGTTCTTATCACCCATTACTGCTTTAACTGTGTGTGACAGGAATATTTACTGCCCCCACCGCCTCGGTCCTACTGTGGTGTGGGCCGATTTGGGGTAATGAATATCAAGTGTCGCCAAATCTATTTTGAGAGCAAGCAGGGATACCAGCTAAGGGTAGCATCTCTTGATATTCCTATGGCTGGACAACTGGATCTCACAAAAAAAATTTCCAAAGTTATTTATATTCTCCAAAATCCAAAGGTTGTGTCTGCACTATATGTGGAAGTTTAATTGATGTCGCATATATATAATGTAACAAGCAGAAAAAGTCATCAATATCCCCCGCATTGGCAAAATACTCTTCATGTATATGTCAGTTAGTTACGACTGTGTCAAATGTTTTGGAGCGTATATAGCAGTGAGTGAGTGAGATTAGTTTTATGCCACACTCAGCAATATTCCAGCTGTCTGTAAATAATAGAATCTGGACCAGATAATCCAGTGATCAACAGCATTAGCATCAATCTACACAAATGGGATGCAATAATATGTGTCAACCAAGTCTGTGACTATATTACAAAGTAGAAGGAGAGTATTGAAAGGTTTTTAAGTTCTGCTCCGGAAAAGAGCACTACCACCGATTTCAGTCAAAGTCAAACTTGTTGCCATGGAAACGCAAAATATGTTTTATTCAGAAACCCAAAACTACCAAATGGCACCAGTATATCACCAGACCTATCTATGTGCCAAGTTTGGTGAAGAAATATTCAACGGTTTTAAAGTTCTGTTCTGGACAAGATGACATCCTCATAGCCACAGCCTCCATGGAAAGTTACGTTTCCACGGAAACCGTAAAAATAAAATTCATATCTGGGTCTAAACCCCAAAAGGCACATCTATGGATCATACTTGACATATGTACCAAGTTTGATGAAGCTTGCATGTATAGTTTGGAAGATCTGCTCCGGACAAGATGATAGTCACAGCCTAAGTCATGTTTCCATGGAAACAACAAAAAATGAAGCTGAGGAAATCTAGACTTGCCACATTTCCTAGACTTGCGTGGGCTTTCTTGGATATATTTGCTTCAGGGTCTGTACGACAGACTAAGTGGACACTGGCTTTAGCAAATGAGCCATGAGCACTTTTCCCATGGGAATAGATCTCTGACAAGGGCAAAAAAACCATGTTGGTATACCTTCTCTTCTGGACCACTTATTGACTTCATTGTTAAGATGCTGTCACCAAGGAAGTGAATGGTTGAGAAAGTGCTGATTGGTTAGAAATCCTGATTGCTGCATTTGGGTCAGATCCTTGCACTTTCATCCAATTAACTGTCCACTTAGTTATTCAGTATTGAAAAAATTCCCAGTGTTCTTCAACATATTTGTTCACTTCAACTTCAGCGCTTAGTAAGATTCAGCTGCTGAGTGTATCACAACTGGTGTCCTGGATGAGTCTCGGGAGCTTGTATTGGTAGACATCTGGTCGCTTCATCTTATGAGTGAGTGAGTTTAGTTTTACACCGCACTCAGCAATATTCCAGCTATATGGCGCCGGTCTGTAAATAATCGAGTCTGGACCAGACAATCCAGTGATCAACAGCATGAGCATCGATCTGCGAAATTGGGAACCGATGACATGTGTCAACCAAGTCAGCGAGCCTGACAACCCAATCCCGTTAGTCGCCTCTTGCGACAAGCATAGTCGCCTTTTGTGGCAAGCATGGGTTGCTGAAGACCTATTCTACCCCAGATCTTCAGGGGTCCTTCATCTTATGGGTTGGCAGATTCTTTAGTTGTTTATCCAAGTCAATCATTCAGAGTGGAAAAAAGATGTGTAAAACCACCATAAACCATGTGACTCCCTCTCATCACAGCTGAGATGCAATCATAGTAATTGGCAATATTCAGCCACCATCTATCCATGAAACCCAATACCCTACTCAGCTGTAACATTATAACATGGATACCCCACACAGACAAGGTGGAACATGGATTCCTTACTTGTGCCTCAGGTACAGCCATTTAGTTATTTGTTAATGACTCACGAACATACACATTCAAATAAGTACCAATTTAGTCTCTGGCTTTGTTAAATGCCACAATAATGACGTTGTTCTAGTTTTCAACAAATTCCATATGTATATTTTACAGGCCTGTATTAACTGACCATATCTTTCACTTTCAGGGGGCATGAGTTGCAAAGTCGTCCAAGGTACCATAAAATGTGCAGAGTTGTCCCCCTTTGAGATGCCAGACAGCTATGACATATGGGTTCAAATCCCGGTCTGCTCCTTTCATGTTTGAACCAACTCACTTTTGATAGTGAGTAGGGCTGCACAATAAAACTGGTTTGCCGGTATTTACTAGTCCAGACATGAAAACGATACGTATTGCTATACACTGATCGAAAAACCGGTATTTTGACATGCAATCGAAAAACTTCGTAACACTCGGAAATCTTGATGATTGTGGCAATTGTGGTAATGGTGGTGGAAATGATTGTAGTAAAAATTACATTTAACTGGATTGTTAAGTTCGGTTTGAAGTTGTGTTCTTAATTTATGTTCAAATGTTTTGCAATGTTTGGATCTGAATGTTTTAAATATTTACTCATTAATGACCAATGATTTCTGATATGTCCTGACCAGGTCAAGTTGCTGTCTAAAATCTCAGGGCTGTTTTTGAGATTGGAGAAAGTAGTTCAAACGTAACTGTGTTGATGTTAAATTGTTCTTTTCCTTGTTTCATTTGTGCCAAATATTATTTACATTTTTATTTTGTCATGATTAAAGGTTTTCATTTAAGCTTAATCAAGCATAGTGATTTTGTTGTGTTTCTGCTTGACAAAAACCAAGCATTAACTCGATTAAAAGTAGTTTTTGGTTAAAAAAAGCTTCTTGCAATATAATGCAATACATATTGCAATATATGCCTTTGCATCACAATGTATCGCAATATGAAAATTCTCTGTAATACCCAACCCTAATAGTGAGTGAGTAAGTACAGTGCATCTGTCAAACTCGGACTCTGTCTTTCTCGGATTGCTGTATAAACAGGACTGAACTTACGGTCCTGAAGTAATCCTTCTTTGTTGTCATAATGAAAAAGCTCTGTATCTCAGACTCTCAGTATTTCGGATTTCGGATCAAAGTGTCGTCCCGAAAAGGTAGTTACATGTCTGACTGACTGAGTTTTGGTTTTACGCCGCTTTTAGCAATATTCCAGCAACATCACGGCGGGGGACACCAGAAATGGGCTTCACACATTGTACCCATGTGGGGATTCGAACCCGGGTCTTCGGCGTGACGAGCCAACGCTTTAACCACTAGGCTACCCCGCCGCCCCGGTAGTTACATGTAAAAACATTGCTATAGAATCCAGACTGAGCAGGAAGTCCGCTTGGCCTAGCAGTGAAAGCGTATTTACCTTTGATGCGATTAACACTAATTTGTAAACTATAATTGAGATGATCATGTAAAATTCAGTGTCAATGTCACTTTCATGAATGTGAATATGGAGACACTCCCCGGTGACTTAGCGAGCCAATCGGAAGGCGTGGATGACCTCGCACATATTCAGTGATTGGCTAGATCAAGTCAACAGACAGATGAGGAACAGTAAGAGGCATATCCTCTAGTTCATTGACAATGCTCCGTCCCACCCTCAAGACATAGTGCTCAGCAATGTTACACTTAAAAGTCAGTCATGGTCTTTGATGACTGATAACTTCACAAACTAAAGCTTTTATATGCATGTATGTAATAAACAAATGTACATGTACTTTGTCAGGAAGTGTTTCGTCCTTATACGCATTCATGTAATATGTGTTTCATGCACAATTGTATGCTCGTCAAAATCTGTGTACCTCGGACTGCTGTCTAATTCGGACTTTTTAGTCGGTCCCAAGCTGGTCCAAATTAGACAGAGTGCACTGTATAGTTTTAATGTGGCTTAAGCAATATTCCAGCAATATCACGGCCGGGGGACACAAGCAACACTTTCAATAAAGGGGCACTGATCTAGAGCAATTCCTGGGACTGATTGTCGTTTTCAATTTTTTTTTTCCTGTGGGTACCCGTATGATATTCTATAATTCTTGACTTGCTTGAGACCTCTGCTGCACCAACCGTTAGCATTTAAAATTGATAGTACAAGGGCATAACCTCCCCTGATCAACACAGATAAAAAAATACAGTTTCATCTTGTAAATCTAAGTGACCCTTTAAGGGACCATTCATAATTTATAGCTAGGGGGTGGCGATGATGATTTTTATGGAGAAGCATGTACAGTGTGAATGACACACACACACACACACACACACACACACCCAAAGAAAGAAAAAAATTAAGTACAACGTGAGTGCCCCGCCCTGCATGTCATATACAAAATCAATGACACCTTCCCATAATTTTTTAACCTAATTTTTAAATATTTTTATGAACAATTGCTGCACAAAGTAATGTGCACAAACTGCTTCCTCCCAGAACCAAATGGGTGACACCCCTTAAAAATCATCACAAACATCCCACCCACACCCACACCCCCACCCCAATGAACGGTCACTAACAGTTCAGGTTTTTCACAACTGGCTGCAAAATATGTCCCTCTGGAATATTTTGAAGTTTAGTTTCATCTCCCATATATTAAAAATGTTACGATTGAAAGATATTATAACAATGTCAAAATGGGGGTTATTTTGTTTACAGCCTCAGATAAATGAAATGTGTTTTCAATATTATAAGTCAACTGACAAGACACTAGCTGTTACATGACATGATTAAATATCAAGGTGCAAAAAGAAATGGGATCCAGATCAGTCTCATTCATATCATATATACCATCCATGCATCAGAAATTTCTGAAAATGCTTGCACTGCTGGAATATCTATTAAAATAAAACTTGAACTATCAAGAATATTTAAAAAATAATAGCATGATGGGCATCCACCATTCTTTTCGTCTGCTTGTTTAGGATGAAGAAATTGCATTGGTATTTATTGTATTTAATTGGTATGCGTACATTATCTCAAAGTTTATGTCTGCTTTCACTACAGACAGTAGCCCAGTCTTTCTCCGAGAGCCGTGATGCGGTCCTATACTGTCAATTAAGACATGACCCTGAATGTATATATCTGACCGCATCGGGTCTCTCGGCTACCCAGTCTTATGTCACACTCAGCTGCAGAGCTCCAGATAAGATTTAGCTCATGTGGGTACTGTACCCACTGTATTTTTTGGGAGTGGGTATTATGAATGTTGAGTGGGTATTTCAATTTCCGTTACCCACTGCTTTTGAATATGTGCATATTTCAGTCACTTTACCTAAGTATTATGTCATTGAGCAAGTTTACTAAGCAGGTATGTTCTGCCTTATGTCATACCTAATCAAAACCAACTTAAATATGATGGAAAATATTTCATAAAAAATCACTCATCCTATACTGACATTACAACACTTGTCCTATACTAACAGTACAACTTGATAGCAATCGATTCCGTACGCATTTGTTTTAAACTTTTTGCGTATCTAACATTGCGTAATTGCATTGGTACGCAACAATTATTTTTCAATGCGTAATTCTATGCGTATTTTACCCGGATACGCAGCTTATCTGGGCCTCTGCAGCTGCATCCTCCAACAAATCGTCTCATGTCAGCAAGTGAGTGCTAGGTGTGACTGCTCCATCGAAGCAGAGACCATATAATAAACCCTTTATTATAGGGTCTCTGGTTGAAGCAATAAATTAATGCCCCTTTAAAGACTTTGAATGGCATTTCGAAGTGATACATGTCAACTTCTGTAATGTGAGGAACATGACATTTCGGAATAGATGCTTACTCCTTCATCGGGTCAATGAAAACTAGGACGCAAATAGCTATAGATAATACACGATGCTGGGTCATGTCATGACAGTTGGACCAAATCGCAGCTCTCAGCTAGGAACTCACACAGTCACAGTCAACTGAAAACTTCAATTTAAACGCTGCTAAAATAATAAAACATAACATCAAAAGTGCATCTGACATGAAAACACCTAAAAAACTATTGAATATACAGCTGCAACTATATTTTTCACAATCTATTACAGTCCAAAGGTCGCAAGGATCTCTGATGCAGTGCCCGAATATTGCTGAAGAGGACACGTAAGGTAATTTGTACTAACGATACACCGGTAACCTCCAAATGTCTTACCCGACTCTGCCACAACTGCAGCAAAGACAGAAAGGCTATATTTGAAGACAAATGTCTCTCTGGGTGGACTGTCACCTATCGTTTTTGAGCTCTTCATGATTTTTGTGGATGTTTACACTCTTCTCATATTGTCAACCAAAACACGTGTCTGATGCATTATGGGAAATGTACCAGCCCGGTAACTTTGTTATTTTTAGAAAGGGAGAGGCCCGTCTGCTTTTGAACTAGTTCTTCTATTATAATACGCAACCACCAGTGACTTCTTCACCATCTTTAATTCGAAGACAAAACGCAGTCGCATGTGAACTTTGGACTTTATCAAACTACAACATTTAGTCAAAACCTAATAGTGTATGTGAATTATAGTGAAACATAACTGATAGTTCTATTAGTTTTGTGTTATCTTTGTAACTTGAATAAGATTTGCAGGGAAACTTGGGTACCAAAGCTGGGCTCCATCTCTCATTTCTCAATAAACGGTTTGACGACGCGCAAAGGGAGACGGTAACCAGCTTACCAGGGTACGCAACTCTTGTCACAACAAACAAGATGGAGGGGGTTGCAGCCTATGAGTTCACGGCAAGTCAGCCCGACGAACTTTCGTTTCCGAAGGGAGTCACATTGAAGGTATTTAACAATATTGTACACACATGCATCGTGGCATGTAGTTACACATGAATATGAACTGTAAAGGTGACATATTTCTTCTTGTTAACAGAATTAGTTCATGTAATTCACTTCCTCCTTCCTGGATCTGTCACTGACGGAGTGTCAGTGTTGACTAAGCTAGTCTACTCTACATTTCATACAATGGTATGATAATTCAGTTGCAGAATGAGTCATCGCTTGGGTAAGAGTTCCTCCCGTTCCCCCATCCCAAATAATATGTATAAATATTCTAGAATTATAAACAAAACTTAACACAACAATTACTAGAGAACTCACAAAATGATTAAAAGTCCAAAATTTAATTTAGGGCTAGGTTTAGGGTTAGGTTTAGAGTTTGGTTTAGAGTTTAGAGGGGAACGGAAGGAACTCTTTCCTTTAGGTTTGGTAACAGTGTACAATTGGTGTGTTAGAATACATAGCCGGTTGTCTCACCCTCTGTCAAATGTCATTCTCGGTTAAATTCTTCACGGAGATTATAAAACCGCCACAAGTTTTGAGAAAAGATTATTTATGAAAAATTGCAGCTTGTCTGTACAAAGTGACAAATGGTTAGATTAATTTCCACACATCGGAATACATTTCTGACCATACTTACAACATGACAACATGACTGATTGTGATTTCTGTAAAAAAATATGTTTTTAATATCAAATGACTTCGTAAACTTGAGTCCACTAGACCCAACTTGTTTTTGGTGCTGCAAGCATGAGCTGTCCGGTGATGTGATTCTAAACACTGACCTGATCAAGTGTTTGATGGCATGAACACATGACTACTAGAAAGCTGACAATGTTACATCACTGGGATTAATCTTATGTGGTGTTGCACACGCATCCAATCGCGAGGATACTATGTTGGAACTGATTCACAAAAACCTGTGCTTGCCATCTGACTTAGCATGCTAAATTAATCGGTTAAGTGATTTGCTTGTTTTTGCTTATGTTGTCATTCAGTTGTTTTCATGGTCCAGACTATCGTTGTCAGGTTGTCTTGATGTAGGTCAAATATTTAGGACCATGGCATTTAGACATTAACTTTCCCTCTGAAGACTTGGTTACTTTGAAAGCCACCATCCTGTTACACGAACAAACTGAAACATGTAGCAATAACATTTCCTGGTTTCACGCTTGGAACCAAACCATAGACACTCTAATCACAAGTCAGATACCTTGGCTTCCTGACAAAATAGCAGCATTAAAAATTAATGCATTCCCATTGAAGGCTTGTTTAAATGTTTTTTGGCTGATATTAAACATGTTAAAAGGCATCCACTATGAAACACTTGCCTATTGGTTTACTTCGTTAAAGATTTAGATATCAATATCAGTGAAAATATATTTCCTGTTATGCAAGGCATAGCTATTTATGAACATAGATTGAGATAACATCTGTAATTGTCTCATAAAACTAGCTGGAAATAGAAATCAGCTGTTCACACATTTTACTCCGTTGATCATGATAAGACCAATAATCCGGTGGAAACATATCTAATAAAATAGCTTAAATTAAACTTAATGCAGTGGTCAGATGAAATGATACTATTATTGTACAATGAATAAATATTATAATGCGTTCTTATTATTTTTGCTGTTGTCACCATGTTTACTGCATATTATTGTAAAGTAATCACAATGATAGTAACTCTTTGGCATATTATCAGTCATTGGAACAGTTTAAATGCACAGTGTCACACATTTTCAACAATATTTTGGCTTAAATTATATATATTGGTGCATATGCACTCACTTTAGCTTCCATTGATGTAATATAAGACATATCATCCCTTACGACTGGCCTGAATCGATAATTGAAACTTTACGGTAAACAGCTTCCAAACTGATAACACTTGCCATATATGGAATGTATTCAACTGCTCCGTGAAACGAAAACTGTTGCACGCGGTGTTGTCAGTGTTTGCCAAACTGGTTTCAATCACAAGTTGTGCGTAGGATATTTGTAAAGAGTGCTCCAAGGGACATAACTCTATGGGGTTTGCTTGAAATAATGTTCGGCTAGTAGAGGGCACGACAGTCAATTTAATGTAATGTTGCATTAATTCATTCGAAATTTTTAATTTAATATTGTAATCTTAATTTGTAACTTTTTGGAATAAATTATAGGATAGCTTCCCTGAGGGCTGATGGTTAGTATTATTGAGAGAAATACATTATTTATTTAGAAGTCTGGTGTGAAATAGTGACTTTAATGAGTTGCAATTGGAGATCAGCAAACCTGACATGAAGACATCCCAACATCTTGCTGTGTTTGATAGCAAATATAATGCATGGACAAATAATGATCAGATATAAACAATTCTGACTCTTTACGTGTCATTGATGATGTATGTACAAAGTTTCATTTCAAGGTGTCAGTAGAGTAGATCTGATTGTGATTTCTGTAAAAAAATATGTTTTTAATATCAAATGAAAGAGTGAAATCTATTTAAGAATATAACATATCCTCACAAATATACAGTGAACATGATACAGTTTTTGTTAATGTATTTATTTTGGGAAAATTGTAAACTCTTTGTCTGTATGTGAAGTCCCACCTGACTTTTCTCAGTCACTGAGACTAATACATTCATCAGTCAAGTTGAAATTGAAAGTTGTAAATTGTTTTATCCATGGCAAATCATGGTGACTCGCAGTAAATATTTTTGGAAACCATTTACGAGTCTTGAAATTATTTTGTCAATAAAATAATTCCATTATAATTCAAAATAATGAAGGGATATGTGAAAGCATATGTGTGATATTGTAATTACAATTTACATATTACATATTTATATTAATTAGTCAATTCATTCATAACTGGCGGTGGGGTAGCCTAGGTGTTAAAGTATTTGCTTGTCATGCCGAAGACCTGGGTTTGATTCCCCACTTGGGCACAATGTGTGAAGCCCATTTCTGGTGAACCCAGCCGTAATATTACTGAAATATTGTTAGTTTAAAACTGTGTATATTGTGGTGTAAAACTGAACTCATTCACTCAATTCATTCATAACATGCTTAAATATAATGGAATGGGGACATACACCAGTGATTTTATTTAACCTAATTTAACTTCTTCTTGCAACAACTCCAAGCTTAAAGGAACATTTAGTTAATATAAATATTGTGTCAGATTTAACTTATGTGAAAATATTTTTTGAGTATTTTTAGAAAATTGTTGAGTCAAATACACAGGAATTATACATCATGTAAAAGTCTATGTGATCATGATGCTGGTTTAGACAGCAAGAAAGCCAACCAAATAAAATAACCAGACCTCCAGATAAGATTTAGCTCATGTGGGTACTGTACCCACTGTATTTTTTTCAATGCATAATTCTATGCATATTTTACCCAGATACGCAGCTTATCTGGGACTCTGGTATCGAGTGAGCTAGTGCTGGAAAATGGGCATACACTACAGCATTACACTTCATATGTGGTGTTTTTGCTTTTTCGTATAAGGCCAGACCAATTTTATTTCTTGTTTTACGGATTTTTGTCCTCAGAAAACTTCAAGGCAGGAGGAAAAAAAAATATAAATCACTTATAATGTATGTTTTCTTATATTCAGAGGTATTTTAAGATTACATTTCAAAATTGGGCAGTTGAAGAGGAAGTAGAGAGTGTATGTGTCAGTTTCATTGCATGATGTATAGAGATTGTAGACTGTGACACTATGTGGGCAAGTGGATCTTGTTTAGTGTTCTGAAGCGTATTAGTTCCAAGAATGTGAGACAAGGATTTGTTAACATGGTTCAGGTTCGTGATGACGCTGCCTTTAGATTAGTTTTCTTCTCATAATGCTCGTTGAAATGATACTCTTGGGGAAGAATGTAATTGACAGCATGTCATGTATATTTTGTCAGATGACCTGTGTGTACTAAACAATAGAATAGAACAGAGGAATACCTGATTATATCAAAGAGAAATACACATTTGTAATACACATTTACAAAAATTGCACAACAAATTGATTTAGTATTACCAAGGATACTCTACAACAGGGATAGGTCACTCACTTGCTTTCTTTACCATTTGTACCAGGGATACTCTACAACGGGGATAGGTCACTCACTTGCTTTCTTTACCATTTGTACCAGGGATACTCTACAACGGGGATAGGTCACTCACTTGCTTTCTTTACCACTTGTACCAGGGATACTCTACAACAGGGATAGGTCACTCACTTGCTTTCTTTACCATTTGTACCAGGGATACTCTACAACAGGGGATAGGTCACTCACTTGCTTTACCACCATTTGTAGCAAGCATGAGCTGTCGGTGATGTGATTCTAAACACTGACCTGATCAAGTGTTTGATGGCATGAACACATGACTACTAGAAAGCTGACAATGTTACATCACAGGGGATTAATCTTGTATGTTGTTTACTGCGCATCAATCGCGAAGGATACTATGTTGGAACTGATTCACAAAAACCTGTGCTTGCCATCTGACTTAGCATGCTAAATTAATCGGTTAAGTGATTTGCTTGTTTTTGCTTATGTTGTCATTCAGTTGTTTTCATGGTCCAGACTATCGTTGTCAGGTTGTCAACCTGAAAAAAATATGTTTTTAATATCAAATGAAAGAGTGAAATCTATTTAAGAATATAACATATCCTCACAAATATACAGTGAACATGATACAGTTTTTGTTAATGTATTTATTTTGGGAAAATTGTAAACTCTTTGTCTGTATGTGAAGTCCCACCTGACTTTTCTCAGTCACTGAGACTAATACATTCATCAGTCAAGTTGAAATTGAAAGTTGTAAATTGTTTTATCCATGGCAAATCATGGTATTTCGCGAGTAAATATTTTTGGAAACCATTTCACGAGTCTTGAAATTATTTTTGTCAATAAAAATAATTCCATTATAATTCAAAATAATGAAGGGATATGTGAAAGCATATGTGTGTGATATTATGTAATTACAATTTATATTACATATTTATATTAA